AGCTGTCCTGGAACTCACTATGCAGACCAGGCTGGCCTTGAACTCACAGAGATCCGCCTGCCTCTGCCTCCCCAGTGCTGGGATTAAAGGCGTGTGCCACCACACTCGGCCCAAAATATATTTTTATGTGAATTTATTATGGTTTATGCCCATGGGTAGGGAGGGGGTAAATGGGGGAACTTACAAAGAGACAAGCACTCACCCCTGTGAGGCACTGGGGCTTCTGTCCTGAAAAAACCCCTCCCCAGTCAATTCTCTGCAGCAGGCCCCGCCCCTTGGAGGAAACAGGCAGTTTGGGAAGACACAGCCATCTAGTAAGTTTCTAAAAATGACACTTTCCCTGTTTTTTTCAATTAAAAATTAACCTACAAAAGTTGGAGGAATAAATATATTCTATATAGTGTCACCACCAATTACTGGCATAGTGTCATTTTCTCTTACTGCCCAATCACAGCTCCTCTTCCTGGAATGTAACTCGAATACCAACTTTCACACCATACATGAACTCAGTACATGAGGTCACTAACCTCTGTTTGAATATCTCTGGTGATGAAGAACAAAACTGTCTTTTTGTCACTTCCTTGTGTTCTCAGAAGCCTCTGCTTGTTCATAAACTAGAAACTTAGCCCTTCTGCACTTGCTACCAGCTGGGCTTTGTAGAAATCTCTAGCTAGAACAACTAAATCACCTTCCTTTTTCCCATGACAACTTTAAACTATTTAAGGCTGTGCTTATGTCCTCTTCTTTACTTTGAGGAATAAAGATGTACCAACTCTGATTCATTCATTCATGCCTTATTTGGAATAAAAATGAGTCCTTACCTACCAGAGTAGGAGGAGCACATATTTATAAAGTGTCACCCAACTTCAGTATAACAGTGGGGTTCCTTGACTTGTTGAAATGGGTACTGTTTTCCCTACCAGTCATGCTATTTGTCTGAGTTTCTTTGGGGTGCACAGATATCAGATGTCTCCAAGACCACTCTCAGTCTTCCTAATTCACTACAAGATTCTGAGTTCAGTGGAAAGCTATGATACTTGCAGTTCTGGTTTTTATAGCTGTTAAGACCAAGGTCTCTCTGGAACAGAACAGCCTACTTACAGACATTGTACAGTGTCACCAGTAGCAAGTAATGGTATTCTAGAAAGTTCATTTGGAAGACAGACACACATAGTGCTCAGGTAGGTTATGAGTCAAGGTTCCAGCATACATGCAGGAGTGGGGAAGAGTTTTGTTGGTTCAGCCAACAGCTGTTAACCAGTTAGCCTCCTTTATCTGTCCTCTCTTCCCTCCTCTAGTCTTTGAAGTTAAATTTAGAATATCTTGGAATTTTTCTTTGAAAGAAGAGGGAAAGAATATAGTTTAAAATTGGGCAAGAAAAGACGTGCATGGGGCTCCCATAGGCAAAGTTTTGCTTGTTCTCTTCTGGTGTGGCTATGGCCAGTGGTAACTCCTGTCAGCAGCAATATGTGACAAAAGACGCAGAGTATTGCCAGGTTTAGGGTTCATCTGAGCTTGGATATCCAGAGTGATTTGCTGGGTCTTGGTCACATATCCACATGACTACCAGTGGATATGGTTGGCTGTCTGAGTGACTGACTTAGTTTCCAGTCCCTCCAAAGTCAAGCTGAAGTACATTGCTGAACGCCAAGTGTAATCAGATTACTAGCATGGACTCTGGCCTGTCATTAGGTCCCCTGATAATAAAGACATTTATCAGGCAGGACATTCCAAGAGTATAAAGGTTATCTTAGGAGGTAATTCTTTCCCATACTGAGTAGATGGGTCATCTTTCCTTTCCTCCTGGTTCATGTTTTACTTCTCTATCAGATGATGTCTGGGCACAGACACAGATGGCAGTGACAAAGTGGTTCTTGATTGAGCGTAGGTTCTTGGGTCTGCTGTCTTGGACTTCTGCTGTTGGGTAGCTGATTCAGTCAGGCTGCTGGAGCCTTGCGGTGGTGATTCCCATGTATGGGGAACTTCCTAGGCTTTGTTAGACCTTTCTCACTTTACACCTGTCAGCAATGAATGTCCTGCCAAACCTTTCCTTTATAATCTGCCACAGGCATCGACCCTTCAGTCTTGGTATTAGGGTTGTTTTCTTCCTATCATATCAGACCATTAAACCACCAACTCTTTTATGTACCTTATACCCCACAGGGAAGTCTGGGACCTTTTAGACCCTGTCCATGACTCTTAACAGTCAAGACAAGCTTAGGAGTAGGGCAACATCCCTCCCTCTGCAGAACTGTGCCTCTTGACCAGCTTCCTTGCTTTGTAGCAGGACCAAGTTGATGTCAGCAGTTCTATGATGGTCTTCTCTCAGAGTTCTGAACAAAGACGGGCCATCAGTCCCCTTCAGTTCTGCATCTGCCTCTTCCGCATCTGCCTCTTCCCAGTTTATGTGCTGGCTTCCCTTCTATCCTCTTCCAGATTATGATCTGGAAGGGGCATGCCAGGACAGAGATGTCTGCCTACTGTTTGTCCTAATCTTCACCTTCTGCTAAGCTTCCTACAACTACCAACCAGAAGGAAAGACTTCCTCTAATCAGATTTCCTTCTGTTCTGATAAAGGAGTTCCTCGGGCTATAATATGGAATGGCTAGAGGAAACTTATAAAGAAGGAAAAATATTTTCAAAATGCCGTTTTTATCAGTATCATACTTATATAAGGAATTTGGCAACCCCTCCCAAAAAGAAAGAAAGAAAGAAAGATCTTCAAGTCTCCTTTCCCCTTCCCACCTGTATTTGTTAGCTTTCTTATCACTGTGACTAAATGCCTGACATAAACAACTTAAGAAGAAAGATTGTGGGAGGAGGGAGACTATGGGAGGGGGCCATCTGGGAAGTGGGTGTATAGTTGAATAAGATGGTTTGGGATGTTCTGTGT